TTCAGGGCATACACAGACTACCAAACATTTTGAAAGTTATACAAACAAAAGTAGGCAAAATGGATGATTGAGACTTACTAAAAATTAAACCCTTATGTGCATCAAAAGACTTCACCAAAAGAGTTAAAAGGGAGCTCACAGAATGAGAAAAAAATTCTTTTGCAATGACACATTGGAGAAGGGATTCATTTCTAAAATATATAGGAAATTACAACACCTCTACAAGAAAAAGACAAATAAACCAATTAAAAAATGGGCACAGGACATGAACAGACACTTCACCAAGGAGGAGATCTGGGCAGCCAACAAACATATGAAGAAATGTTCACAATCACTAGCCATTAGAGAGATACAAATCAAAACAACAATGAGTGAAACTAGTCATGCCCAAAAGGAGAAATACTGCATAGAATCATTATTGTAAAAGACTAAGAAAAATAACCCATACTAAAAGGGGAAAAAAAAATTCTTTGCTGGTTACTGGGATGTGTGGGATGGAGGGAGGGGAAGGTGGAGCACAGGGTAGGGAATAGACACAGGATAGTTTGGGTGCTGTGGGGGTGGTGGACAAGACACAAGAAGTGGGAGGGGAATGGAAGAACAAGGTGCATGGGAGAACAGTTAGGTAGATTTGCATGGTCTAAGTGGACAGTGGTAAATAATGATTTATGCATAACCTTGGAACAATAGGGCTCTAGGATACAGGGATTGAGGCATGGTGTGAATGGGTAAAAGAGGGGAAATAATGTCAAGATGCTTGGCTGTCTTTTGAATGTTGGTTTCCCTTGCATACCATTGAAAAACAGACACTTGAGTGGAAGAGAAAGGAATAGCCAGAAACATCACCACAGAAAGCTTGTAAGTCCGTCTTCAGCCTATAATTGATTGGAATACCTAAAATGGGGCTACAACTTGCCCAGTGAAGGAGGCTTCTTGAGGATCCTTTGCAATGCATAAGACCATAGGTGGAATCCTGAACCCCATCCAGAATCTTCTGAGGTAGGAAATCTCTACTTAAAAGGACAAACAGACCAGCCTGGAGCAGCTAGAAGAACAGAAGCTACTTCTTGAAAGAAAGACCAACAGGAAAAATACAAAACAATAACAGCAGTCCAACTGATTACTACAAGAACAAACAAGTTGTTCACCCAGGAGCCACCAAGGCAAGTGATCAGGTCCCCCTAGGGCAAACCCCCTTCCAAGACTAAGACTCAAGGGGAATGCTTGAGCATGCATGTGGTCTGACTGGTGACCACACTGGTCACCAATAAGGGGAAGTGGGGGAAAAACAGTAATGAAGTTGTGATCTAAGTCTGACCACGTTCAATAGACTCCTGTAAATTCAGGTTAAGACCTGGTTGGCCAGCGGTATGGCAAGATCTGGGGACTCCTGGGCCTAGAGACAGTGACATGACCACAGAGGACTAGAGCAGAGAGTGACGCGTCCAGCTGATAAGAATTGAGGGCAGATGCACAAGAACACTCATACTTGCAGATAGTACCCACTTGACCTAGCTTCAATGGCTGGATAATCAGAACGCAACTAGAAGAAGAAAGAAGAGGAAAAAAAGTGTAATCTGATACAATTTGATGAACTTGACCTACACCTATGGATGTAGTAGTTCAAAAGAGGGAACAAATCTTTACAATAGGATCATTCCCACCACCTCGGTACACACGGTTGACAGGGATGGGTAACTTAGACATTTGCTACCCAAAATGGCAGGGGTAGGGGGGGGGGGGGGTGCACTACAAAGGCAAGAAGTGACTGGTTTACAAGCTTTTGAAAGAGAGCCTAGATCCAGAGGGTGTGCAGGAAGGTAGACTATCCACTGAGTGGTTTCCAATCTGTCTGGATGGGGCTGATGAAAGGAGATGGGCATAAGACTCTTGTAGTTCAACAGTGAATAATTGCTATCAGGACTGACTGTGAGTGTTAGAAATGTAAAGGTAGATGTTTTGTAACAAAAGGAGGGGAGTGGTTGATTTTGCAGTCCAGGAGCAGAGGTCCCTGGGACCATCAAGGGAGAAGAACAGAGTGTGGGATCCTACCCAGAGAAGCAGTGATGCCAGAGATGGAGGCAGAGACAATGATGTGGAGAGATGTAGTGGTTGGGGACTCTAGACCAGATGGGGAGAGTGGCTGTGTGCTGATGACCGAGGGGCAGCCTTGCGGGGCCCTTTGGTTATTTGATGATGCATGGAGGGAATTGTAATCATGGCAATGAAATGAAATACAATAGGATGAATGTAAAGCTAATGTTCTCTCATGTAAACTATCACATAATTCACAATAAAAACATACCAAAAAAAAAAAAAGCAAAAAAGGAAGAACATGCTGTCATGCTCAGCATTTCTCAAGCTGAAAGAACTGAGGAAAAACTTCAAGTCTAGACTTACAGTATTGAAGAAATCTATGGGCAAACTATTGAATGATGCAGAAATCATCAAAAGAAGATAGAAGGCATGCACAGAGTCGCTGTACAAAAAAGAAATGGCTACTGTTCAACCATTTCAAGAGATTGCATATGATCAAGAGCCAGTTGTACGTATGGAAGAAGTTCAAGGTGCACTGAAGATATTGGCACTGTACAAGGCTCTGGGAATTGATGGAATACAAATTGAAATCTTTCAACAAACTGATGCAGCACTGGAAGCACTCACTCATCTACGTCAAGGAATTTGGAAGACAGTTGCCTGGCCAAGTGATTGGAAGAGATCTATATTTGTACCTATACCAAAGAAAGGTGATCCAACAGAATGCAGAAAATTATCACACAATATCATTAATATCACATGAAAGTAAAATTTTGCTAAAGATAATCCAATAATGACACACTGGACATTGACAGGGAATTGCCAGAGGTTCAAGCTAGATTCAGACAAGGATGTGGACAAAAGGATATCATTGCTAACATCAGATTGATCTTGGCTGAAAGCAGAGAATACCAGAAAGACGTTTACTTGAATTTTATTAGCAATGCAAAGGCTTTTGACAGTGTGGATCATGACAAGCTGTGGACAACATTGCACAGGAAGAGTATTCTAGAACTCTTAATTGTGCTCATGAAGAACCTATACATTGACCAAGAGGGAGTTGTTCAAAAAGAAGAAAGGGACATTGAATGCTTAATATCAGAAAAGGTATGAGCCAGGGGTGTATTCTTTCACCACATTTATTCAGTCTGGATGCTGAGCAAATAGTCTGAGAATCTGGCTTATGTAAAGAATAACATGGCATCAGGATTAGTAGAAGGCTCATTAACAACTTATGATATATAAAAGATACAAGCTTCCTTGCTGGAAGTGAAGTGGACTTAAACCACTTTCCGATGAAGAACAAAGACCACAGCCTTCAGTATGGGATGCACCTCAATGTAAAAAAAAACAAAAATCCTCACAACTGAACTAATAAATAACATCATGATAAATGGAGAAAAGACTGAAGTTATCAAAGACTTCATTTTGCTTGTATCCACAATCAACACTGAGGAAGCAGCAGTCAAGAAATCATGGACATATTGCACTAGTCAAGTCTGCTGCACAAGATCTCTTTAAAGTGTTCAAGAGTGAATAAGTCAGTTTGAGGACTAAGGTGTGCCTGATCCAAGCCATGGTACTTTCAATAGTCTCATATTAATATGAAAGTTGACAATGGAAAAAGAAGACCATAAAGAATTGATGCATTTGAGTTATGGGGCTGGAGAA